AACCCTTGGCTGGAGGTTCCCGGGGGCTGGCAGGAGGTCGTTCCCCTTGCCCCCAGCACCTCCGCTGGGGAGCGGGGCCCTGGGCCAGCCACATGGCCTCTGTGTCTTTGTCACAAGGGCACAACTGGGAGAGGCCGCCTCGAGCGCCTGGTTAGCAATGGACAGACATGCTGCGATTTGGTAGAGGACACTTAAAGTTGTGTTCGCTCCCTCCAGCACCACCCAGCAGACGTGTCTGATTCCAGCTGCCCCCCCTTCCAGATGTGTGTCCCATTTTCCTTGCCTTCTCCAACCTCCCTCCTTTACACCTGGGGCTTTATTCATTTAGGGGAGGGGGGCACACTGGTTGCACATTTCTGGGACATCCTGAAGGAGGAGGGAGGAAGGGAGAGGGATTTAAAGATTCATTTCCCACTTTTCTAAGCCCAGGGAGAAACATATTTGTGCGTTGTATTTCCTCTTGTGCATCTAGTTAGAGGATGACATTGTGCAATTGGAAAAGCAATTGCATGTGACGGAGGATGCAAGGGACCAAGTGCTGGAAGAGCTGCACAAGTCTGAGGATAGCCTCCTCTCCGCAGAGGAGAATGCTGCCAAGGTATTGTGCCCTTGCCACAAGCAAAGAGAATCTAACTGTCTCTCCTTCTCTCTCTCTCTGTCCGTCTGTCCTTTTCTGTCTCTTCTGCACTTGCACCTCTCCCTTTGCACGATCACATTGCCTGCTGCACCTTTTCCTGCCCGCCCTCCCCTCTCCACCACTTTCCACCCGTATCACAGCTGGAGGACGAGTTGGTGGCTCTACAAAAGAAGCTGAAGGGCACTGAGGATGAGCTGGACAAATACTCCGAGTCCCTTAAAGATGCACAGGAAAAGTTGGAACTGGCTGACAAAAAGGCCACAGATGTAAGTTACCCCCATCCCTTTCACCATCCCCCCGGTACAGAAACCACAGACTCCCTCTGCACAGGACAGCCAGGACTCCTACCAAGCAGTGCTCCAAAATTTGGCTGAGGGCAGGGTCCAGGCATCTCCTGGGCAGGGAGGTGGGAAACACAGCACTGCCTCCTTGCATGAGGTTTGCACACTATCAGAGGCATTTGATTGGGTTTCTGCTCACTCAACACATGCTTTTCATGTGTACTTTCTGCTCTAGACATGAAAGTAAAGAAAGGGTGGATTGTCTGTTCAGGTGATGGCAAAAATGGCTTGGGCTGGACTAAGGCTACCTTGACAGTGAAGCAGAATCAGAGAGTTAATAGCAAGTAGATCCAGGAGAGGGAGATCCAGAAGAGCAAGGGCTGCTAGTTCTGTCTTTGAGAGAGCTGTTTCTAGGCATATATGTGTTAGAATTGCTGCTAGATACTCATTTGGCTCACTCGCTGGTCCCTGAGATAAAAGATCATCTCCTAGGGTTTTGGTATTTTTCCACGGAAATCACTGGAACTGTTTCACTTCTCAAAGGAAAGTTCAGTCTCGTGTGAGAGAAAATTGTCTGGAAATTGATACTTGCTAGGTTTGCAGTTCAGAGGACAGGGATCCTGGGAGCAAGCTGGGAGATATATATAGCTCAGCACTTTATATGGTAATAATGTAAGAGCTTGTGCCTCTCCCAGGCCCTCATCCCACCCACCTGTCTGCCCGTGACAAGCATTTCATGGATTGCATGCATGGAACCACGCGAGTTTACTGTCTCTGCAGTTAAGGTCCAGATCTCTATGGCTGCTGCTGTACGATCCAATTCTCTCTGAGTAAATCTCAGGTCTGAATTACAGGATTAGGTGAAACCACAGTACTTCCAAAGCGATGACTGTCCTTTTCCTATAACTCAGCTTTAAAAGTTAACCTCAAAGCCGTAATAAAAAGAGGAGTTGCCACAGATGAAGCAAGCAAAGTATTTCAGGGGGAGGAAGGATACCATTAGTAGGGGAAATGTTACAAAAAACAACTTTGCATGAAAGACAGCATGCTTTTATCTTATTTTACTTCTGAAATGAACAAAGGATAAAAAAGGTTTAACTTCAATATGGCAATTAAGTTGTATAGCTTTGAAAGAACTCAAGAACTTAAACATAAGCGTGCAGAGGAATGGGGGAGAGAGGTTCTGTGTGTAATGTGGATCAGATGTCTGTCGTCTTCTGTGTATGGCTGCATAGATGAGAGGCAGCTTCCTAGGAGGACGTTTATTTAACTTCTTCAAAGGAACCGCATATAGATCCAGGGGAGATATTCCTTATAAGGAAAAGTATGCAGACTATTTGGAAATAGCTTGCCTAGGATGAAGGCAGGAGAAATGCTACTAGATTCCCTTTTTGAAATGAAAGATCTTCCTAACCAATCCTAATGCCATTTTCCTTTGCTGGAAAACAGCATTTGGAAGCTAGTTGAGGGCAATTTTATTTGCAGTCATCCCTCAGGCAGAGGGTAGGCAAGTGTCTGGCTTGTTTTCATCAAGGTAAACGCTGTATTTAATGGTATGCATGGAATATGTCTGACATCTTAAGGATGTCTTTCTTTTTTGGCGATGTGGAGTATCTTTGGGGCATTGCAGTTGACCCAGTATTTGACCTACTAGTTTGGATGGTTCCAAGCCTTAGGAAGAATACACGGGCAGAGGTGGGAGTGCCAGCTTCCTGGGGTGGACTCGCCGTACACAAGGGGATGAGGAAACCTTACTTTGCCGGTATTACTCACCTCACAAAAGCCGGGCACATCCCCTGAGCCCGGGAGCCACCTCACCTGGGAGACGGCGGCCGCAACTCCCTCCCCTCCCCGTGTCTCAGGAGCCAGGCCAGGTGCAGCAGCAGCTAGCGGGGACAGGCTGCTCGGTGTCACCTCATTACGCTCATACCGGGCTGGTTTGGGGGGTGGGAGGTGGGGAA